TGCCTGGAAGTGCTGACAGATCAAGGCAACAAATTTCAATTCCAAGCCCTAATTTGTGTCCGCAGAGCGTTTGTTACCCATGTCAGAGCTGTTCGGCCCCTCAGACGAGGCAGAGCTTGCGGGAGGAGAAGGAGGAGGAGGGGAGGACGAGAAGCCCCGCTTTGGCATACCGGGATCGTCTGGGCTTGCAAAGGGAAGAGGAGGAGGGGGGAACGCTCGGCGACCCACTTCAGGCTGTTAGAAGGTGGATGCAAAAGGAGCGGCGAAGCCAAGCGAAGGCGAGCGGCCGCGGCCTGGAAGAGCAAAGCAGCCGGCGGGGGCGAGAGAGAGAGAGAGAGAAGACGGGAGGGTTCCAGTTGGCCGCTCCGACATGGCAGAGAAGCGGAGAGCCTCGCCTTGCACCGTGCTGAGCCTCAAGGCTCACGCGTTCTCGGTGGAGGCGTTGATCGGAGCCGAGAAGCAACAGCCGCCGCCGCAGAAGCGACGAAAGCTGGCTGGAGCCAACGAGGAAGAGACGCCGTCCGAAGGTAGCGGCGGCGTCGGCCACGGGAATAGCTGCGACACGGACTCCGGCGAAGGCGCCGGACAGAGCGCTTCTTCGCCCTCCGGCGCTGAGATCTGCTCGGCCTCGCCTGAAGTAGCGAAGAACTGTGGCGCCCGGGAGGTACCTCCCGGTAAGTCCTTGCGTCCTCTTGCCTTCACAGCCCCCACTCTCCGCTTAAGAAAGACCTTCCCGCCCCGCCACATTTGCAGATCATAACTGAATTTCCCTCCCAAGACTTCCAATGGTCCCAATCCCCAGGCTGAGGTCTCTTCTCGGACCGAGAGAAGGCTGTTGCAGCTTGGCTCAGCCTCAGCGGCCTGTCCTTTTCCCTTCAATTTACCCTGAATAAATCAGACCGAGCTGTCCCGCGGTTTTCAGAAGCATCGACAGGGTCCGGTTGTAGTAGCAGAAAATGCAGGATTATTAAAAAAAAAAAAAAACCGGGCAAAGTTCTAATGCTTTACTAATAGCAATAGTAAAGCACTAATAACACTAAAACGAAAAGAAGTGAAGTGTAATCTTTATTCTGTTTTGTTTTGTTTCTGGAAGGAATTGGTTTCTGTGGGATTTGCCCCAACTGAGTATGTATATACTAACATGTTTCAGCTCCAGAACTACTGCTTTGCAGATTTCTTTCCCCAATTGAAGGAGACTCAGCCCCCAGGAGCTTTGCAATTTAGAAGGAAAAAAGCATAAATCCAATTGGAAATAAAGGAGACTAAAAATCACACGAGGGTTGCCTTCACCCTAAAAATGAACCCATTTGCTTGAATTTGTACAGACATAACCAAACTTGAAGTTTTGGCCCATAATGCTAAGTTGCAGAAGGTTTTGTACTGTCTAAGCTTAGTATCTATCAGTTCTTATATGGTTTGCATAACGGAGCAAAAGAGTTATATTTATTATCATTATTGACAGGGTAGAGTTTTTAGGCTGCAGTCTTATGGCGTAAATGGGAATAAGCTCCATTCAATACCCCATAGATATGTCTAGAAAGGTCATTCACTTATGGTTTTCTCAGATGAACCGCACATGATCTGAAACCTGAGTTAGTTCGACTTAAAACAAGATCTTTATATTTTGTGGACAGACATTACATTTTAATTTCTAAGAAAAATAATCCAGTTTACTCTACATCACTAGTAATCTAATCTCTAGTAAGAAAAATGATTTAATGATTTATATTAACTTAAACATGGATGGGATGCACTTTTCAGCTTCTCTCTTTTAATTGGACTGAAATGTTATTTATGACAATGAAACCTATTATTTTTTTCTCGATAGTTACAGTACTTCAAAAATATAGATGTTAATATTTTAACTCCCCCCAACAGCTGCATTGGATTTAATTATGGTCCAATTCAGGGTATGCAAATCAAAATACACTGAATATATTTATAGTAATGTTTCTACCCTTTAAATTGATAAAATAAGATATTACATACTTTCCTTCAAGTGAAAGAAAATATGGGTGACCACAGGTTTTCTTACAAACATGAATTTGGTATTTAAACTAATTGAAATTTACAGATTTATCTTCAAATATATTTTGGATTGGATTGCTAAATTCATTTATTTGTTTGTTTGGGCAGTCCCTGCAAAATAACCAAAGTCCATTGTGGTGTTTTTGCTTATTTGTTTGGTAATGGTGTTTTTGTGGGTGCATCTGATAAAGAGGCCTAAAACCCATGAACCTTTTTTTTTACAATACATCTGAAAATGAAATAATACTAAGGCTCTTTGTTGTCTCAATTTACTTCCAAGTCAATACACCCAGGGTGGCCCTGCACGCCTGGTACTAGATACAATCAGCGCAGAAAGGAAGAGGGTCTGGATTTCAGTTAATACTCCTTTTAAGTAGGATTTGGGGCCTACGCTGTGAAGTCTCCACAATCAGCTTCCAATCCATTCCCCCAAAAAAGAGAGAGACCGCAATTAAAAGACATGCAAAGCATTCAGCATGGCGAAAACTGTCTTTCCTTAAATTGAGGCTGATTTCAGTTCAAATGGCCCTGGAAAAGGGACGGCTGTCGATAATAGCCGTTAAAAAAGAGCGAATGTGAAACCGACTAGACTGCTTCTGGTTGAAGGCGATTTATTATTTCCAGGAAGCGGCGGCCCCTAATTGACGTTTAAGCCTCCGATGCCGTTTTTTTGCTGCAAGGGAAGCGCGAGACGGCAGATCGCACGAACGCGCCGGCTCTTTAAAACGTTATCTCGCCGCGCCGGGTGGGCCTCGCGCTATTTTTATTTTTTTTTTTACATAGGGACGCTCGCGGTGGGGGAAGGGAATGAATTCCCGCCTTTTCCCAGCGAGATTTTTTTTTTTTTCATTTCTTCCAAGCCTTTCACCTCGCTTCTTCGCGCCCCCCGCCCAATTGTTGCCCGTTTACAAACACCCCTCGTTGAATTTAGGCTCGAGGAGCTGTGACCGTAGCAAAAAAAAAAAAAAAAAGCACTGGGGGGGAGGAAACAGGACGAAAAGCACGCGCCCTTTTCTAAGGGAGGCACGTGCGCATGAAGCGCGCGAGAGACTTGGCAGGGTAGAACAAGCGAATCACTTCAGGCGCCTTTTCCCATTGAAAAAACAAAACAAAACAAAAAGCGTTAGTTTTGTGGTTAAGGTTTCTGTGGCGTCGTCGTCATCATCATCATCATTATCATTATATTATCATTATTATCATTATCATTATCATTATTATTATTATTATTATTATTATTATTATTATTATTATTATTATTATTATTATTATTATTATTATTATTATTATTATTATTATCCCCTTCCCACACGGGAGCGTAATGGTAGCTACCGTAGTCGCCTCTCCTTTCGGGCTAGGCTTAGCGCTTTTTAAGCCATTTATTTGCCCTAACCGCCCTCTCGTATCTTTCCCCCCCCCCTCCTCTGTTTTGATTCCTACAGGTGGGAGTGAAGAAAGTTTCTTAAACGGTACGTCGCCCCCTCTGACTCCCGCAGGCCCGGCCAAGGCTGCCTCGCCTTTACTTGCCCCGCAAGTGCCTCGGGTGGACCTGCAAGGCGCGGAGCTCTGGAAACGTTTCCACGAGATCGGCACCGAGATGATTATTACCAAGGCGGGAAGGTAAAAGTCTGGGCCAATCGTCCCACTCAGTGGTTGGGGAAAAAACAACAACCAAACCGTCAGTGCAGCTAAATCTGAGACTCTGCGCAGCTCTGACATTCGCTATGGAATTCTGTTTGGGTAGAAGGTTTTACGACCGAATTATATTTCCTTAGAATATGGTGGTTACACGTTGCTCTTCAGCATTCGGTCACAGAACCGAACCCTTTTCCCTCAGCGAGTTTTGCTGGTGGATGGGTTTTCAAATAAATGGATAATCAATCACGGTCTGTTTTTAACGTTAACTATTGAAACGCTCTTCCATCCGTGTTGATTTGGAAGTAAATCTTAAAAGTCAGAATATGTTTTGGAACGAAATACCAAATCGAAAGGCAAACTTATCTCCAAGTACATATATTCAGTATTACAGGGATTGCCTGTAAATCATTTGAGTTAATTACCATATTCTTATATTGCCAGACTTTGAGATATATTTTAAAATACGGGGTACAGTTTTAGTAACAGTCCTAAAGATGAAGTTCTCTCCCCCCCCCCCCCCCCCAGCTAATAGCTGATCTTCAATATATTCCTTGGAAAGGCTATTGGTTTGAAATTGTTTATTATCAATAATGATTAGATTTTTTAAAAAGTCTAATATTAGGTGTGGCTTGAAATGTTATTCTCTGTTGTATCTATTTTTTGTTCATAATAGTGAAAATATTTCACTTACCATTTCTAGCATCCTGAAGTATGAATAAAATTTCTCTAGATGTTTTCTGATAGAAAATCAAAAGATTTTCAATCAGAAGCAAAATATTCAGGAGAGATCATTGGTTGCCTTTGGCTTTCTCCTTCAGATAATTTGTGTTGTCTCAAGCATTTTTCATGTTCAAACTTTTACCACTGCTAATTAAACATAAACATTTATTGTTCTGAAATTTGGAAGTTTAAATTATCTCTAACATGTATATTTAAGAATGGTGGGTATGAATTCAAATTGCTGATATGTGAAAATAATTTAGCAAATTATGAAGCTGGAGAGGCCATTAGAATTATAAATGATGCAGAATGTGAGGAATGGTAGTTTCCTGTCCATTATTTTAACAAAAACTACATTCTCCTAAAAATAACTTTTTCTAAAGAATGTATACAATATGATAAAAATCTGCATTGTAGAAATATATCTGAATGCATTAAAAATGACAGAAACACATTTGATTGAAGCCATATGTTAACTTCTTCATTTTCAGAGAGGCTTTATTCATGATTGAAATGCAGTATTAAAAAACACAAGGCAACACAATTTTCCTGTCAATTTTTCTTTATCTTACAGATTTAAAAAATGTTAAAAACTAGCTAGCCACAGCTAGTTTTGCTTCTTGGTTTTTTTTAACATGTTAATAATTTTATTATTTCTAGAATGTAATTTAGATTTCATATTTTTAGAAAAATATGAATTTTAGGAAAATAGAACTTTATGCCCTCTATATGAAAATAAAAAGATACTATTTCTTTCTTATGAAATTCCTTTGAAGCTCAAGAGCTAATTTGAGAAATACATTACAGTACTTCATAAATTTCAGTTAGTAGCAAAATTGCTGCGTGGATTTTTTATTCATCTTTTAATGAAGTAATTTTTGAGGTAATTTTTGAAATAATTTTTCCTCTCTGAGGGAGATGGGCAGTTTAGAAATACTTTAGAAATACTATACTTAAGTCTTTTTACTTAAAAAGTGGGGGAAATAATTTATAATTGTCTTTATACAGAAGTAAATCCCATTTGAATTATTGGAATTTGTTTCTAAATACACATTTATAATTTTACCTTTATGGATATATATGTGTGTGTGTCTATATACCAGTAGTATATGTATATAATTCAGATGTAACCATGATTTGGAGTTTATACATATACACAGTTATGTATACATACTCCCCCAACATTATAAGTAGTATAACCCTATCCTGGAAAATTCACCTCTAAAACTATGCTTATTGTTTCTGTAACATATATTCACTGTTGAAAAGATGACATGCTATAATCTTTCACTATGCTAATTATTAGAAGCAGCTGATAAAGACAAGTGATCTTTTCCCATGATAGAACTGCTAGCTTTAATCATCTGTTTACATATCAATTTGGGTGTGTGCGCATGTATGCATGTAATGGTAGAGGGAAAATGTTTATGTTCAGGGCTCTAAGACATGAAAATAAGCTATACCTATTTACTTTTGAGAAAACATTTTTAAGGATCAGAATGGCAAACTGAAAATTGTATTTCTGAGTGGCTGCAGCTGCTACTTCAGCCTGGGATGTGAGTTTTAAAACAGAGCAACAAATTAAAAGCAAAAAATAACTTGCTAATTCACATTTATAGTTATGTGGGGTTGAGTTTGTTCTTTGAAGGAAATTCACTAACAAATAAAATACATGTAAAAGTTGTTGAGACATAATGTGTTAGGGTTGTTTTGTGAGTGAATTGGTTCAGATGATTTAAAAAGGAAAAAAAATCCTGCAGATAACTTTAAATGAGAAAGAGTTGAGGGTTTTACTTCAATCATGTTCCTGATTTTGTGTCCAAATCTGCTTTTTATTAAATACTCTTTCTATATTCAGACGGATGTTTCCTGCAATGCGAGTGAAAATTTCAGGCCTAGATCCTCATCAGCAGTATTACATTGCTATGGATATTGTCCCTGTAGACAACAAAAGATACAGGTAAAGTAGCATTAATATTTAATACATGGGACGAGGGAAATATAGTTTATTTGGAAAATAACAAAATTGTGCTTAATTCCCTTCCAAATTCCTATCTTCTTTTCACCCATGAACAATCCCAAAGCTGGTGATTGTTTTTTGTTTTTGTGTTTGAGTTGCATTATACATTTAGTTCACATTGAATATCTTTTGTTACCAATTTTTTTCTCATCTTGTAAGCAACAGTGTTCAGCTCCTTAGTTGCAAAAAAAATCCACCATAAGTAGTAAGACTGAAATGAAGTGGATTGTCTATACTGTGTGCAAATCACTTTGCTATCCCAATTAAGAACAACACTGCATGAATATGGAACTACTCAGTGGCTAAAGTTACAAATATACAAGGCAGCTGTAATTTGTCTGTTTCGCCATGGAAACTATGTCTTTACCTAGTCAAGAGGCAAAGGTGAGTGGTATGCCTTATTGAGATCTTGACATTTGATTAGCAGGTCTACTAGGGACAACACAGAAGCCTTTTCCGGATAGTAAAAATCCTGGAGGAGACTATAAAGCTAAAAGAAGAAATGTACTTGCTTTGCTTAAGCCATAAAAAGGTGGTGGGATGGAGTTTGCTTCGTGAAGCAGTTATGATAAAGCATCCCTTTAAAGCTTATACCTGGTCTTTTGCTTAAAAAGAGAGGGAAATGGAAGAAATATTCAGCAATCTTAATACCCTTTTTTGAATTATTTCAAGATGGGATATTATTGCATATGTTTTACTGGACTGAATACATTTTCAAGATGGATGCTACATGGCCATAATGGAATTATGATTATTCCATGGGATATTGGTAGTCCTTCTCTCCTTTGTTATTTCTTTGTTAGGGTAGATGTGTAGTAGTTGATTTTCATGCGAACTCCAGTAGCAAAGATATAGCAAAAATAATTGTTCAATTATTCTTGTATATGCTTCAGGAAGCTAAACAAATGTCCTGAGATAGATTAAATTAGATTATTTCTTAAATTAAAATGAAAGTTGAAGAGACATTAGTGAAATACTTGAGAAACTTTGACACAATGTAGAACAGAAGCCTATTTTTAAAATATTTCAAAAGAGAAATGGAACAAAGATAATTTTCTTCTCTTTTATAGTATGTGCATTAGTTAGGTAATGGACCTTTTGCTGGAATACATAGTTCTATATTTGGGCTTTGAAGAAATAATGAAGCTGGCTCAGTAAATCATTACATCCAGTTAAGCAAAGGGTTTTGCAGATAAATTCATTCATACCCATTAGATTAAAATACTATCATTAATGGAGTTTAATGGAGTTCTGTTATTCTCCAGTTTTGATGGATATTTTTCAGTTTATATAGCCCAAAGGAGTGAATACAATTCTGAGAAAATTAACATACACCATGTGTATTCTTCAATGGTTCAACCATATTTGTTTGGTTTATACCTACCCTCTGGAATCAGCTCCCCCCAGAGATAAGGAGAATCCAAGACCTCAGTGCCTTCCGTCGCGCCCTTAAAACCCATTTATTTAAACAAGCCGGGCTGGCTTAAGATGAAATTTTTAACTGTTTTTAAATGTTTTAAACGTTTTTAATTGGTAAATGAGTTTTAATTGGGCCAAATTTATATATCTTTTAATTGTTTTTAATATTTGTTCTGCATGTTTTTTTTTTTTAATCTGGCTGTACACCGCCCTGAGTCCTTAGGGAGAAGGGCGGTATAGAAATCCAATATAAAATAAAATAAAAAAAATAAATAAAAACTAATAGAAGGAAGCTAGCCTTGAATTTCATTTTGTTGTGTGATTTCCAGATTTTAATAAAACATGTTTAGGAGCGTATAATGGCATGCAATATACATTTTCCTCCTTGAGAGTATTGTACAGCTTACTGAGATTCACTTGAACATGGGTTGATAGTTATGGGATCTAAACCATTGACTGACTTTGACTGTCTTAGTAGATGCCCTTCCATTGGACATTTGATAGGAGAATGAATTTTTTGTGATCCCCCTTGAGCTTTTATCACTTTTAAACAGCATAGTTTCCTTTTGAAGATTGTCCCTTGCTTTTCACCTCAGTGTTATCACAAATTGGCTGATTCCTAGTCCTATCTATCATAATCCAAAGATAATGTTGTTGTTTTTTTAAATACAGTTTGGTATGGATTGGGTGAGAGCAAACAAAATGAAAGCATCTGGCTGCTCTTGGCTGATAAAAAGATAAGCGAATTCAGATACTTAGTTTGAGGATATCTCTAGATTTAATCATGGTTTGGATACTTCCCTTTCATAGGAGTCGTTTGCTCGGCTCCAAATATGCCTGCTTAAGGTGTCTGACTTGGCACTGGTAAGAAATAGTATAGTTACATCTGGATTAGATCACTTCCAAACTATGTAGGGTTGTTTTTGAAGATTGGAAACTTCAGCTAACTTAAAATGCCGCAGCCAGGCTGTAGACGTAGACCAGTTATAGAAAGAGTATAACTTTTTGACTACAATATATGGCTGGTGTTTTGTTTATGGGTACAATTCAGAATGTTTATTATAAATTCTTAGATAATATAAGGTTAGTTTATTGAAGAATTGTCTTCTCTGAGATGAGCTGCCCAGCTGTCAGATTCTTCTAAGCAGGCTTCTTCTCAATCTCTTCCAAGTTTTATACGCATTTGGTGTAAATTGGAGTCTTTTTCAATGGTTTGTACCACATTTGGAAGTCACTGATGAAGAAAACCTGGTTGATAGCTTTCTGCTAACATGCAAAAATAATTTTATTCAAGTCAATATTTGATTTCATTTAAACAATTATGTCTCTTTTGCTCCTCTGTATTTAAACCTTTATTTTATTTAATAATGTTTATGACATTGTACTGATTTTTAACTGGTTTTTAATCAAGGAATGTAACTATTAATCATATTGGATGCATAATTAAATTACATAGAATTAATATTTCTAGTTTTTAATATGGAAAAGCGAGGCTAGATAGCAGGAGACTGTGAATTCTAGTTCCACTTTAGCTATGCAACCTGTTCGTTTGGTGATTTTGTGTCTATTACCGGTAGTCTTCAACTTACAACTGGTTGCTTCATAACTGTTCGAAGTTACAACAAAGCATAGTATAGAAAATACTGGAAAAGTTTGGTTCAGCTATTTAATATGTGCTGTTACTTCTGTGCAATTGTTTGCAATCATGGAACGGATGTCAGTAATATTTATTAAATATGTTAATGTAAGATTTCAGTCTTATAGATCTTTGCCAAGATGGTATATATCTGCAATTCCCACTAGAATTCCTAAATTTATAGGAAGGGAAATATAATGAATGCTTTCAGAAAATTACAAATTTAAGAAACTGGACATTCGTTTTCAGAATATCTTTGCTATAAAATTAGGTGGTTCTCTGAGGAAAATATTGTGGTTTTATTTATTGGAAATACTTTTAAAACCATTGTTGTTTGAAAATGTGTTAATGCATTCTTTTTTTTAAAATCCAAGTTATTGAATATAATAAATACAATATCCTTATATTTATTCTCCTTTCTCCAATTCTGATTTTTTTTTAATTATTATTTATATGCCGCCCTTCTCCGGAGACTCAGGGCGGCTTACAAGGAGTTAAGCAATAGCCTTCATACTTTTGAATATTTTATACAAAGTCAGCTTATTGCCCCCACAAACCGGGTCCTCATTTTACCTACCTTAGAAAGGATGGAAGGCTGAGTCAACCTTGAGCCTGGTGAGAATTGAACTCGCAGTAATTGCAGGCAGCTGGAAGCTAAATACTACCTTTAACAGTAGCATTAGTCTTCTGTGCCACTCAGGCTGTTTACCTATTTACTTTTTGGATTTATAAAAAAGCCCAATTCTGCATTTCATATTTATTTATTTATTTATTTATTTTTTTATATGCCACCCTTCTCCGGAGACTCAGGGCAGCTTACAATGCGTTAAGCAATAGCCTTCATACTTTTGTATATTTTATACAAAGTCAGCTTATTGCCCCCACAAACCAGGTCCTCATATGTTCTGAAACATCATCCTAATTGATTCTAGTGCATAATATTGTAATAATACTTTAATACTTTGACCCAGTAATTTATTAAAACAGCTAAGAAACCTCAGTTATCATATAAGGGTCAAATAAATATAATTAAAGACAGATTAATAAAACTTTTTTATGAATCTGAATTGCATTTGATCAGCTTCAGTTGCAGATCTTAAATAAATTTTCTAAATCTTATTCAGTAGGATTTCTTCGCTTAAGATTGCTCTACTTCATCATGAATGCAAATATATTTTCAGGTGTTATACAAAAAGCCATATTTCTAAATAACAGCCTAATTTTTAATTTAATTTTTAAAATATTTATTTTTTACTACTAGCTTTATCAAAATTTAAAATTTTAAAATTTAAAGTTACAACTCATGCAGATAATTTCACATCTACATTCAATTCTGCAGAGAAATAAGAATGTTAAACTTCCTGCTAAATGATTATCTAAATGTATGGAAAAAATGTTCTAAATATAGATTTAATGTTTGGATACACCACCCGCCCTTCTCTAAGTGAATGGGCAGTTTAGAAATAGGAAAATAAATCAACATAGTCGGATGGATGGATGGATGGATGGATGGATGGATGGATGGATGGATAGATAGATAGATATGAGAGAGAAAGAGAGAGATACTTTGCATCAATTGTCTTTGATTGTTGAGTTGATGATTCTGTTTTCTTGGCAGAAGGAGGGGGTGTTGATTTTGCTGATTTATTTTTCTTGTTTAACCCTTTCAACTCAGTGATATAAAACATATACAAATTGTCCTCCTGGATTAGGTCGAATACACCTTAATCCAACATTTCATTTCTCAATACTAGATGCTTCTCTGCACTTATAGGCATGAAACAGACATGCCACAGTCCTTTGTATATGCTATCTGGAAGCTCTTTGCCCCAACTTTTTTCAAAACTAATAAGCATATGATAGCCTTACCTCCACAAATCCTCTTTTAAAGCCGCACAGATTAATGGCTATCATCATATTTTACTGTGGTGAATTGGTGGAGAATTCCTCAGGGTGCAGTCTGTTGTGAAATAAAGGTATTGTTGGATTGCAAGGAGAAGGGAGCATTGATAAAAGCTGTCTCCCTTCTCATTCACCAGAGAAAAGCATTGCTGGGTCAAAAGCCTTTCCCATTAACAAAAGACCCTTTCTTTTTGTGGGTTGCACTTTTAACACCTTTACCTGGGATTAATTCTTACATAACCCATAGTTTATTCTTGTACTAAGGACATATTTTCACCTCATAAGATAATAAGCCTGATTGTTTTGCTTTTCCAAGCAAAGTTTTTGTTTATTTTATTATAATTTTTGAATTGCTTTAATTATCAGTGAGGGATTTGAAATAAATATTTCTATCTGTAGTTCAAATACTGCCTTAATTTATCCAGTAATGAATCTGTTCTATTAAAATATGACCACTAAGCTTAAGTCATATAATAACTACTTTTCTTTATGGTAAAGAAGTATTGCTGATCAGGGGAACAGTCCCTCTCCTTTTTTCCCTGTAAATATGTTGCTGTCCTGTCTTTCTGGAACAACATTCCACCCCCACCCTCCCACCCAAGGTCTGCATGGCCCCAGTTCTGCTGTGTTTAGGAAAGCCTTAAGACGGGACTCTTCTCGAAAACACTGGGCTTAGACAGTGCCTGAACTTAATAGCACATAGCAGGCTTTGAATGTGTTTTCCTTGGTGTGGTGGTTTTACTTCTGTGATGTTTTAGTGTTTTGTTTTTTGATGTTTTTAACTCTCTTGTAAGCCACCCAGAATCTCTTGGAGAGTAGGCAGCCTTAGGAAGTAAGTAAATAATAATAATTTATTTACTATATTGCTTTCCATGCCAAAGCATCTTGAAGCAATTTTCAGTATGATTAGAAGTAAAATGCATAATAAACCCTACTTAAAAACAATATAAAACAACCATCAAGTAAAATCTAAAGGGGAGGGGGGAATTATAGAGTATTCTTATATTACAACAAACTTTCAAAAGAATGTTTTCATTGTGAATGTCATAAATCTCCCCCATAGGTATGTTTATCATAGTTCCAAATGGATGGTAGCTGGAAATGCTGACTCACCTGTGCCTGCTCGTGTGTATATTCATCCGGATTCACCTGCCTCAGGAGAGACTTGGATGCGGCAAGTGATTAGCTTTGACAAACTCAAGCTTACAAACAATGAACTGGATGACCAGGGTCATGTGAGTTTTTTTTCTATATTTGTTTTTCAACAACATTAACATAAGGTAACCACTCTTAAAAATAAATTAATAAACCTTTGGACTTAATGTTAACAAAAATTTATTGATTTAGCAAAGCTTATGTCAGCTTTGTTAATGAATGTTTTCATATTTTGCCACATCAGTGAATTAGTAATAGTTTCCATCAGATGTTCCTTTGGGACCTTTGGACAGAAACAAAAATGAGCATATGAAAAATATCAAAACTGAAAGTACAGAACAAACAGTATACTTTGTCTTTCTCTCTGTAGTTGTTGGATTTTTTTTTAAATAAGTGAAAAACATAGACTATAAATCCTTAAAATAAGTGTTCTCAACATATAGGAACCATAGATACACTAAGAAAATGTATCTCATGATTTGATAATTTTTACAAAAATCCCTTGAGCTTTATACTATACTCAAAAGGAACAACATGAGAGCTGTATTCACTCTGATAATGATTTATTACCTACCTTACACAACAAGACCTTTTCACAGCTGAAGCTCATTATATCTGCAAAACTGAAGGGAATTGTATAGTTTAACTATTGTGTTTGAAAGCTCTAAATTGTTTAGTTATGGTACTAGCTCATTTGCTAATATATGCTATATGCTATAGATATATTTCCATTTTCAAACAGGAAAAAAGAAATACACACTAGTATCTTTAAACATGATTAAAATACATCTCATGTTATATTATAACAATAACATACAAATAGTTTTAAGTTGAGTATTTTTTGATAATTTTCATAAATTCAGAAATAGATTGCTACTTGGACTTAGAAAAATACACTGCATTTTGGAGGTACATAAGGGCCTTTTTAAAAATACAGAATACAATCTTTTTTTTTTGTATATTATCCTTTTTATTTATTTATTTATTTATTTGATTTATATGCCGCCCTTCTCCGGAAACTCAGGGCGGCTTACAATGTGCTCAGCAATAGCCTTCATCCTTTTTGTATATTTATACAAAGTCAGCTTATTGCCCCCACAACTGGGTCGTCAATTTATCTACCTTAGAAAGGATGGAAGGCTGAGTCAACCTTGAGCCTTGGCAAGATTCGAACCTGCAGTAATTGCAGGCAGCTGGTCTTAATAACCAGCTTAATAACAGGGTGCCTTAGACCACTGTACTACCAAGGCTCTATCCTAAATCTACTTTAGCTTGCAATTTTAGGTGAAATATGGTTTAGATTCAATATTACATTGAATAGTTTAAATTGCATTTAAATTTTCTAGTTTTGCTTAATAATTATCTAATCGGGAAAATCTTTACATAATTCTGGAAAATCTCTTATGAAACGTTGATATTCATTATGTTCATATTATGATTGTGTCTTGTTTTTCCTCCTTTTATTATTTACAGATTATCTGTATCTTCATTATTATTATTTATTATTATTATTAATTCAACTTATATACCGCCCTTCTCCCCAGGGGGACTCAGGGCGGTGGACAGCCAAACTTAAAACACATATAGTACAAAAGTTAAGAAAAGACTAAAATAAATTAAATCATCGGCATTTCCAATTTAAAATCCCAAATCTGCAAAATCGAAAAATTCCCAATTTAAAACCCAGAATCAATAAAATCAAAAATTTAAAAAACCCCATTAAAACCATTTAAGCTAGGCCGGCTTATTGGAATAAATAAGTCTTCAGGGCCTTTCGGAAAGCGTGGAGGTCTGGGATCAGTCGTACTCCAGGAGGTAGTTCATTCCACACGTTGGGTGCCCCCACAGAGAAGGTTCTCCCCCTGGGGGCCGCCAGCTGACATTGCTTGGCCGACGATAGCCTGAGGAGGCCCTCTCTATGCGAGCGTACTGGCCGGTGGGAGGTTATCGGTAGCAGCAGGCAGTCTCGCAGGTATCCCGGCCCTATGCCATGGAGCGCTTTAAAGGTGTTAGGTAAATTTAATTGTGGCTGAAAATTGGCCCTACTAACTTTTAATTCTTTTGTAAATGATTTTTTAGATAGCAATGCATCTTTGTAAGACAGTTAAAATCAAATCATTTTTAAGATAGTTTATTCCTAGATTAAGAAGTATGATTCTGTGAGACCCTCAAAGGAATCAAGAGAATCAAATAAAAAAGGGGTAAAGAGCAATAATAGAAATTCCAATCATTTTGGGAAGACTGTTGGATTTCCGTGTCTAATTTGAACAAGTGTAGAGAGAGTGACTTCGAATTTTAATTTCTCTTTTAGAAGAAAGCTGTGGTCCTATCAAACACTACTTTATTATAGTCAGTTTAAATTATTCAGAAGCAGCTCAAACCTCTATGAGATAGATAACTCATGAATGGTACAGAAAGCAAATTTTCTATACCTTCTAAATCTTCTATATGGATTTACTTAAATCCTCTCTGAATTAAAACTGTATAAACTTAGCTATTTATTATTCATGTTGTAGTTTAGAGTTAAATAATAAAATATTTTATACCTTGTTATTTTATGGATTTAGTGCCAAAATACTTCAATACAAAATGTTCAGATTTGTCAGGGAAACAAAATTGTTTGATAAATACATTCTTACCATTTGTACTTTCAATGTCTGTAATCATGCTGTGGAAATTTAAGTGTATCGATATTGAAAGATTCTGACCGTTTTTAATACTTACATAATTCTCAATTTGAAAATATAAAAAATAGTAAATTTTTTACTATTCCAAAATATGTGAAATTAAAAATAGTTCAGATTAGATTGTTTATTCAACTACTTACATTTTCCATTTACATCAATTTCATCTTGATGAAATTTTGATATTTTCAAGAGATATTTCCTAGTATTGGGAATTAGAACATTTTGCACTGTCTTGCATAGATATTTTTGCAGAGGTCAAATAATTTATTTCTTTATATTTGGAATTCCTGTTGATTGAGTTTAGTAAAAAATAATAATACTTACAAAACAATCTAATCCTATCAACTATAATAGCATCATTATTATTATTATTATTATTATTATAGCATAATACCGCATTTTAAAATCCTTGTATACCCATACACTATTTTATTTCTTTTATCTAGAGTAAAATGCCAGTAGAACAGAATTTTGAACTGAATTTATTTCACATTCATATAAGCTGAAAATTATTTGTAATATCAACAATTTTTCCTAAAATGTTCTCCCAATGGCATTTCTAAAGATTTTTTTCCTCATAATTTTATAACTTCCATAAAATAAAAACCTGAAACATTCTTAATATAGTGCATATTCATAGTTGAACTAATGGAAGTTAAAGGGGTAAATATTAGAGTAAATATTTTTATTCTTATTACTAAGCCAAAGGATACTGTTGTTGTTATTGTTTTTGTTTTCATAATACTTACTGATAACACTATTTTCTTCTCTCAAATATACAAATAAATAAACAAATAAATTCAAGTTTGCCTTTATCTCCTGCTTTAATTTCTTTGTTAATTATCTTAAGATTTATTATATTCTTCCACCAACATAAAAACAATTTTACTGGTATTAAAAATCTGGCTTGTTTATTCACTGTAATGTAAACAATTAACATGCTAACTACTAAAACAATGGTACCTGTTCTTGAAATATTTTTGTGCATTCTGTTTGTTTCTTTAATAGTTCCCAAATTTTAACTCTAGTCTTAAGAGGGGAGGGTAGCCTGTTTCGGTCATGGTTATGAAATTATAATTGAAAGCATAAAAGAGGCACTGATTTAAAAAACAAAAACAGATAAAAATACCAACCTACTAGTATATATTTAAATTATGCCCTTTCTTCACTTGCATTTATGATCAGCACAATAATGCTCTGGCAATCTCAGTGTTTCTCGTTCACCATAACCCACATTTTAATCAGACTTACCTTTGCCTTTTAGAAAATTAACCAGTTGTTCCTGCTGTATCTCTGAAACTATTACTGTGCTTCCCACTCTCAGACATTTTAGGGGAGACATTTTCATGTGACCAATTCTGCCTTGATGCATCATTGACAAATTCCAGGCAGAAGTTTGGACAATTCATACCATTGCCTCTTCATACCAATTAGTATCTCAGAAGACAAGATGTTAACTAGAGGCAGGACCAGGGGTGAAATGCTCCCGGTTCGGACCGGATTGCCCGATCCGGTAGTGATGGAGGCGGGTGGTTTGGAGAACCGGTAGCAAAAATCCCCGCCCCGTCCCCCGCCCCCCATGCCCAGCTGAGCCGCACAATCATCAGAGGCCTTTTTTTTAACTTTTAAAAGCATTTTTTCTACAACTTTGGCCAAAAAAATGCTTTTAAAAGTAAAAAAAAAAAGCCTCTGATGATCGTGCAGCTCGTCAAAGGCATTTAAAATAAAAAACCCCTTGTTTTCTTTTAAATGCTCTGAGGATCCCAGTTGAGTTCCCTGATGAGGGAACTCAGCTTGGATCCTCAGAGCCTTTTGAAAACATTTTTTTTACAACTTAGCCGAAGAGGTTGTAGAAAAAATGGTTTTAAAAGTAAAATAAATAAATAAATTGGCCATGCCCACCCAGTCACATTACCCCCCAAGCCATGCCCACAGAACTGGTAGTAACAAATTTTAGATTTCACCCCTGGCCAGGGCTACATCTTGTTGTCCAAGTAAACTAGGGTGCTGGCAAATTAAGAGCTAGTTTCTTCTAAAGACCACTAGTGTAAATCTTCAGTCCAACACATAATTAGGCAACTTGATGGCCTCCAGTTGAAAACATTTGAAAACAAATATTAATTTTCAATGGCATGAATTGTCTTAAAATGTTTGTATACATGTACTGTTTCAATGGATCTAAATATGAAATAATTACTAGTATTGATCTTGCAGATTTGCATATTTAGAAATTGCAGAGCAAGGGTAAAATTATGTCTAGGATAAAAAGATTAAAATAGAATGCTATTAGACAAGACCAAAAAGTCCTCTAATGTAATATTCTATTCCCCATAATCCCTAGTTGAAATGTTTACCTCTACACTGTTTCGGCTACAGTAGAGATGTATAGATGAGTGTTCTGTAGTTAATCGTTTATAACTGCATACGTTTTATAGAAACCTAATAAGTAATATTTATGATCCAGACTTAGCTGTAATCCTGATTTAGTTCCTTGGAGTAAATCTAATTGAACTTCGTATTGCATAGTCCTGAATAATACTTTTGAATAAATGCTTTTTTTTTTTACAGTGAAGGTAATGCCTGCTAACAAACCAAAATTATGACAATAAAAATTAGAAGCAGGGATACAAATACAGGTTGCAAGTATAGTTTTCAAAAATCTCTTGAAAGCTATAAAATTTTGCTCCAAAAATACCAACATATTGATTATTTTATTTTTGCAGAAAGGCTAGTAATTCCAGCAATTCATTTATTATTATCTGTACAGACCCACTGTCCTGAAATTCGAAACCTGTGGAGGAGGACAGATATAGCACAATGATATGGCTTTCGTTGTCATGGATATGTTGATTAAATCTGGTTTCTGGTTATGTTGGGTGTTTTACAAATACCGATACTTAAGGACTGCTTGCTTTAAAAAAAAATTAGTGTCCTTTGGGATCTTTTATCAATCTATTTTCTTATCTTGCTTTACAGTATTTAGATCACTAAAAATTGCACTTTAGTTGGACTTTTTAATCTTTGTGTTATCTTTTGAAGATACAACAAAATCATAATGCCTATTTATACCAATTTCTTCCTCTATCTGTATACATTTGTGTTTCATCTGCAGCACTTCTAAGCATGATCAAACAATAAAAGAGTTTCAAGAATCTACAAACAGGGGAAAGGGAAAGCAGTAAGTTTGAAATATAATTAGTATTCAAGCTAGAGTATAGTATTAAAAATCAAAAATACTCTTAGGCTTTTCATGGTGAACTTTAAGAAAAATTATTTCACAGTCACAATTTTTTTTATCTCAGTCACATTCAGGAATATACGCATCCAGGAAAATATATTGAATTGAAATGAGAGATACTTATTTCTAATCTTGATTATTATTATTATTCTAATCCTGAGTGACTTTCTGTAATTGTAACAGACCATTTACTGGCATGCCCAGTATTTTTTAGCAAAAGAAAGAAACATAATAACTCAGTTCATTAATTTCATCCAGAAGGCTTTAACATGAAAGTAAGTTCAAAGTCTAAGCCCTATTAGTTTTGTTGAAGCTTGTATCCAAGGAATTGCCTTCATGAAAATGAAGGGAGAATTTCTACAGCAATTTTTACTTTTTAGGTTTTTTTCCTTGGAAATAATAGTCCACTATACATTGGCCTCTCGTTCTTAAAGGGAAGATTATATCTTTACTTCTAATTTCTCCAACCAGTCCCAGAATTCTCTTGTACTGAGAAGAAATCATTCATCAAGGTTGCATTATCTGAAGACATTTTGTCAAGTCAAAATCTTTGGCCAGTTATTTCTGTAAGACAACTAGTGGTGATATTTTTTGCAGAATTCCATTGGCAAATGAGTAACAAAAAATAATTCCTTATTGTGCGAAAGAGTCTCTAGATGGAAAAATAAATAAATAATTTTCCATATGGATAGTGCCAAAAGCATTCACACTCACTCATTCACTCTACTCTCTCACACACAAAGAAGTGTATTAACATTTTCAGACTTATGGAGTGATTTCTTCTTCAGTGTGATTTTACCAAAGCAGTACAAAGTGTTCAAAATATCTAGAATACTTTTGAAATGTTTGCTTCAGCAGAATGATTGTTGATATCTTGTTCTGATAAAAATGCAGATGTTGGGGAAAGTACTTGGTGGAAACTTATCTAAGCATATTTGGTGTGCATCTGATAAAACTGTCAAAAATCAGAGTTCAGTGTAATGGAAGTTTACGTATGTGGAATTTTGCTTATCCAAAAGACTGTCACTTTCCCAAGTGTGGAATGATTTCACTTAAAAGTGTCCTAATGATAGCCAAGACTTTTATTTTTTTCAAACATAAAATCCTTCCATTTTTGGGCACAGTAAGTTTTTATGAAATTTGGCGTTCAATAATGTATCATAAAATGGGAACCAGGGAATGATGACATACAGTGCTGAATTTAATATTTTGTGGCTAATAATGAAACACGAAATTAAAAATTGTATTCATTTTAAATCTATAGACTGTTGGCTGATAGCCATGAAACTTCAAAACAAAACAACTTCCAAAAGTAATACATTTTTGATTTGAAACAAATTCAGATGCATCCTAAAACTCACGTAATATTTTCTCCAGAAATCTTTCAAAATTATGGTTTATATTATGAAAACATTCCCATGTTCATTCTAGAGGTTTCACATGAACAATTTTGAATTTGGGAAGCAACAAAAAGAAATGACATTTCAAAGATCTAATAGACTTTGCACAGTCTGATGGACAGTGTGTTTTACAACTCCTTTTCAGAGATATTTTTTTCTGAGGGAGATGGATCGTTAAAAACACACACAGACAAACAAACAAACATTGTTAACCAGTGTGTTAATGATGAATCTACATATGTGGTTATATGAATAGTGGCTATTCTAATTTTTTACAACAGTTTTTCCCAACCAAATAGTCTATAGTATTTTGTACCTGAACTCTAATAATTCTTAAACATGGACTGGGAATTAAGAATGCTGAGATTGAACACTTCTGTAACATTAGATGGAGAAATTGCTGCATTGTGAAGGAAACATAATATAGAAAGGCCAGCTCAGGGCTTTAGTATTTGTTTAAAAAACTTGCTACCTGGATGAATACATTGAGATTCTATGAATGACCTAGGAAACAGAATGAACAAGTAGGAATAGAAGAACAATCGGCATATACTCTTTGAATACTGGCAAGGAAGACTGGATTCAATACAATTGAAGGGTCGGTAGGAATTAGTTTCATGACCAGTCATGACTAGATTGTTTGAAACATTAGTCAGGAGTATTTGTATGCAGAATTATTATTTGAAATTAGGATTTTCTTTGCAGAATTGCCTGTAGGTGTCCTTCTATTTTGGTTTGTGTAGGTAAATACTCTATCTTTTGGAGTTTTGTGAACATCATTTGTACTATTTTTGGACTGATGACTGTAGTGTATAGCATAGCAGTGACATATCTTTGATTCTGAATAAAGTCTAAGATTTCCTTTGCTGTGGTGTAAGTTATGCTATCCTAATGCAAAGAGTTTTAGAATGACAAAGTTTACTATCATATCCTTATAAAGTAATAAGGTTTTTTTTTAAAAAAATATTATGTTTATACTGTATATTAAATAAAAGATTAAATTGCAAACTGGGTATATTCGGTAGCTGATGAATACATGATTTCTTCATGATTCAGCGAACAGAAAGTTCAAGTGTATTTCTGAAATCTTTAGTCTAACCTGAACAGAATCAGCTTCAGTCCAACAACTCATTTTTAAAATCTTTGATAATTGCTTCTGATATCTTAAAAAGTATCTTCCAAAGCCATTCTATTGAACTAAAGCTGGGTAGTTTTGAGATTCAGCAGTGTATATTTGCTTTAGTCAGAATAAAGCAAGACAGGCAATTCATATTATTATATTTAAAATATTTATGTAGAAGATACAGGAAGAAAATAAGAACGCTTTTCTTTCTCTTTTTCAATATAGATAATTCTTCATTCTATGCACAAATACCAGCCACGTGTCCATGTCATTCGAAAAGACTGTGGAGATGATCTCTCCCCAGTCAAACCCATTCCTTCTGGTGATGGAGTGAAGGCATTCACTTTTCCCGAAACTGTTTTCACTACTGTCACAGCATACCAGAACCAACAGGTAACTTTTGTTTTATTTTGTTTTAACGCTGATGGCTTACTAGGATGGACATTAAAGTCTATCAAAAGTCAAACAAAAGAAATACTGGCAAGCAGCAAAAAACTATACTATAGGTTTACAATAAAACCAGTGCTGACCTACCATGTTTCCCCGAAAATAAGACCCTGTCTTATATTTTTTTGAAACCTGAAATAAGTGCTTGGCCTTACTGCCATGGGCTTAAAAGCCCGATTGGGCTTATTATCAGGGGATGTCTTATTTTGGGGGAAACGGTACATAATAATGAATTCATATTCTGATCTATTTTGAAGGGCTGATAAAAAGAGAAGATTGAAAATTATACAGAATAAACATAATACTGCCTCCTTCAAGGCTGCTGGCACCTGTCCATTTCCCAAAAAAAGCATTAATCACTTCTTGAATCAATTCTTTACCCCTCTCCTAACTACCTGAAGGAGGTAGATGGGAAACATATCCAACCTGCTAGTAATAGAAATTATGCCACAGAAATTCTTATCATCTTGTACATTCTTTCACAGCCAGGTGTGAGCCATCATGCACAGAACTGTTGGATAATATCTGCAGGTACTATAAGAATTAGGGAGATGCAAATGCTTTGTTGTCCTTTGCACAACCCTTTTAACCTGGACATGGCTAAGTTTGATTTACACAATAGAACAATGTGCTTTTCAACATAATATTAGATGTTAATTATTTAAAATAACTGGCTGAAATGTCAGAAGGCTGCAGTTAATTCTCTTTGTTGACAAATGTAGATGCCAAGGGCATTATCTACCTACCAATGCATCTCTGTAGCCTCCAAAGAAGCAGAATGGTAGGAAAGCTATTGGGTAGAAAAATCAATTCAATCCAAATGAGATTTGCTTCTGGTGTTTAGATTTTTTTCTCCATGATTTTTTACAGGAATTAAATTTCCATCTGACTGTACAATTAGTTTCATCGAACAAATAATAACTTGATATATTTAATATACAGTGGTTTTTTGGCGTGTGTTTACCAAATATGCTTGTATTGTTATTTCATGGTAGTAATTCAATTTTTATGTAGACTTTCTGTGTGTGATTTTAAAAATTCATCAATATTAAGATTATTGGTTTTAAAGTCCTACATTTTATACGTCTGCACATTTTCTACATATTATCTTTACAGATCACCAGACTCAAGATTGATAGAAATCCTTTTGCAAAAGGATTTAGAGATTCAGGGCGCAACAGGTAAATGTTTTGACATTTATTGTAAAACTATAACTTATTTATGAAAATGCATAAGAATTTGGAGCAAAAGTAACATATCTAAGTTGTGTGTCATTTGGGAATTGAAATTTGGTATAGATTGATAAAGTTGGAAGAAGCCATTAAGGCCAACTCCTTGCTTGGTTTATAAATCAGTTTAAAGCATTTCATATGTGCTTGAAACTATGCAATGAAATGAAGCCTGTCTATTTCACTAGTTGTTTCATTTGTTGTCTCATTTTGGAATTGTCTTGTTGAGAAGTTTTTTTTCCAATATTCCATTGGAATCTGCCTTTCTGTCAGTTGTGTCCCTTTTGTCCTGTATTCTGGAACAATACAAAACAATCCTTTATTGTCTCCTATATGATAGTCTTTTAGATATTTGAAGAGTAGTCTTATATCCCCACTCACTTTGTTTAATATTTAATATGTAAATCTTCAGCTATAGAGCTTAAATTTCTACTTTCTAGGTCAGATTTATTGCCCCTTTCTGAATATATTTTGCTTTCTTTGAAACTCCTATAATTCTTCTTTTGGGATGCTTAGCAAAATCCATTTAGTGAAAAAAAATCCCTTTTTCTTTACTCACATTATTTACAGACATGTAAAAATCAGGAGATTTGTATGTGGGAAGTATACTGTGTATGACTGACAATCTTATGAAGTAAAATAGGCTTTATTAAAAATACAATTTTTTGGACAGACTTTGGAAAAGAATGTTACAAAAATCTTTACCCCAGGAGGTAAAACATATTTTCTCCCTTACTTAGAAAAAATATGATAGGTTTTAGTTAATAAAATTGGCCATTTGGACATATAAATTATGATGGTGATAACAATCATGGTAATCTTCAAAAGCATCTTGTATACAATTATGTAAATTATCATGTTGGCTTCACTTCTTCAGGAGATGGGCTTTTATCTGTACTTTAGCGAAAAATGAAAAACCTATTACCGAAAGGATAAAAAATTAAGGCTATTTTTAAAATTCACATATAATACTGTTTCATAATTCTTTCCTACAGTGTTTTGGGGATCAGTCTGGCACCACTATCTTAGAGAAGCAATGTCATGAGAGAATACTGGTTGTTTCAAATTGCTAAGCTAAATTGCAATTCTGGTTTGTGTCTCCAAAGAAAGCGAATTCCATAAGTTAATTATGTATTCTACAAAAGAAGTACTTTTCTTTTCTCTCCAGACTCTATTGCCAATCAATTTAATTGGTTGGCTTCAAGTTCTAGTGGTATGAAACAAACTAAAAAAATGTATTTTTCTGCATATCACTTATCATTTTGTAAACCGCTACCCCATATTTTTTATAACTTAAAAGGACCTAGCTATTTTAGTATTTTCTCAGAGATAATTTTGATTGCAATTTTCTATACCTTTCCAATATGTGATTTTTTTTTGTTCTATGAGATGAACAGAGTAATGAAATCATAATTATATGTAGGCTTAAGTGTTATGTCTTTGGTAGGAATATATAGTTTAAGAGAAAATATATCTATATCTCAGGAATATGCTCGTAATTGTTATCATGCAAGTCCATCACAAAATAGAATCCCTGCCTCACTTACTTGTATGACTGTGTTATTCTATTGAGTTGCATACATTTAAGCAGTAAATTTTTAAAGTAAATTAATATTTCAACAATTGCAGAAACAGTTCATACTGAAAATCAATAGTTGGGAGGCATTTAATGTATTTTTAGTTTTTAAAATGTTTTATTTAGTAGCAGCCACATAGAGAAAAACCAACATCCTTTATCTTTAGAATTCTTTATGGGTCACAAGCAAGTTTACCGGAAATGACTTTGAGGTCCAAAGAACCAAAACTTGGTTGCTATCTTGGTATTAATATTCTGGTGGATATAATTATTATAATAGGAACATTATACTACAAATATATGAATAATCAAGAAAATAAGTTCTCATGTAACATTAGACTGTGTATGAAATTCTTCAAGCCTGAATAAGACTTCAAAGTTGATAATGTTATTTGTTTAGTAGATGACACAGCTTTCTCCAAGTCCTTGCTGGGTAAGATGTTCTGCCAAATCATCATGGTTTAAAATAGAGATATACAACACATGGTCTCCCAGCAAACTCGCAACATGGCTACTGGTGACAAATAATTGGCATTACAGTATAGTTCCACAACATTTGGAAGGTGTGATTTGTATACCCCTGTTTTAATATAAGCTTTAACTTTTAAAACAAACAAACTAAAACAATTGATTTAAAGCATGGTTTCCATTGGTACAGAACGACAAATCATGAATTAAAAAAATTAAAATTGGGTCATGGTTTCTTCCTACCGTACAAAAGAATTGCTCGAGTTCAAAGTTCAAACCTTTGCTTGAGCTTGCAGAAGCTCACACATTTTAACATTTTTTTAAAAAAATATGCTTAAAAGGTTGACAGAAGTGTAATGATACATATATCATTAACAAAATCGTGTAACTGCAAAATTAATTATGAAGACAATAAAAAGGAAGGAAAAATATTAAATCCCTGGAAAGTTATAAACAAAACTTTTAAAAAAATTCTAATATTGCTTGAAAGCCTTAGTCCCCATTTTTCAGGATGAGATAGGACATTCTGGGAAATCCTAATTCAGATGTTTACAAAAATATACAATCCTTTGCTGGCTAATAGCACATACATTTCTCCCCGGGAGTCATATAATAATACTTTTAGCTATACTCAAGCCCTAAAATCTACAATTTGGGCATTTTGGAGAGAAGAAGAATGCATCATCACATGCAGCAGTCAGTCCAGGATCATGTTCATAAATCTACAGATAATAGTGCAATATGCAACAGTAAAAGAATAAAATGTAACCATGAGTTACATTCCATATCCTGAGTTGCATCTCCAACAACATTTGTAACCTGCTTTTATTCCGTATTAGCTGCAGTGCACTTCAGCTTTATCTGTGAATCATACTTAGTGAAATTATACCATGCTGAAAATATGAACAGCTTTTAGGTAATTCAACTCACAAAATATTCTTGTTGTGTTGTCTAGGATGGGACTGGAAGCTTTAGTAGAATCTTATGCATTCTGGAGACCTTCACTGAGAACACTTACATTTGAAGATATACCTGGGATTGCAAAACAAGGTAACTATTGTTTATGGATTGAATTATGCTAAATATAATATGTGTGTTGTTTTCTTCATTTAGGTAATAAATTTTGTCTATTTAAATATTTGGCTATAAAATCTTGTGTTTGTTTTAAAAGTTAGACTGATAAACTCAACCCATTTTTCTATTAATAACTGAAAATCAGACAAATCTAATAAAAATATATTAGAGAATTTCAGCAAGGGCTACTAAGGAACAAATAATTATTACTAAATATATAGTACCCCATTTTGTCAGATACTGAAAAAGATGAAAAAATACAGCCCATACCACATACAAAAGTGATCTGAGAGCAATCAGAAGTTTCCTTCATTGCAATTATTTAAGAATCAGACTTTTCCTTGCTATCAGACCTCCTGTAGATTCTCTAGCCAAAAAAAAAAAAAAGTACTTAACTGTCATCCACCAGATTGAATATCCCGATACATTTACTGGTTAGAAAAGCAGTAACTTTTTTCTTCTAACACAATTTCTTACAAATATTTAAATTCATTTCTTCCAGAAGTTCCTGAAATTAAGAGTACGAGCAATAAAACTTAAGAGTTGATTCAGTTTATGCAGAATACATGAAACTGTTGTGTGTAGGAAATATTTGTGAAGCAGTTCTGAAGCTAAAACCCAATTTTAAAGTTGATGAAGTTCTGAACTGATTCCATAGGAAAAGAGAAAAACTTTTGGTATCATATTATGGCATAGGTCACCAGTCCAGATTCAGAATTAACAAGAAAAACATGTTCCGCATAATTGGTTTTAAATGTTTTATGTGATTTGTATAGTTAATATATAACAGCTAGCCAGAAGTAGATGTGGGCAGATCTTGCTTGTAATTATAACAACTTATAATTACAATAATAATAACAGTTGCCACATCAATTACCATTAAATCATTAAAATTCCTTCCCTCCCATCCACATTTGCTACATTAAAAAAAGGAATACATTTTTTGACATTACCAACTGCATTCTAGCTTTTGCCCAGGACTTCTCTACTTCTTTTTTCTGTCCCTTCTCCTTACAGTATGCTCTTCAACATATCACTACAAACTATACCATGCATATTATAAATCACCCACAGTGATTGTATAGTAACAGATTCTAACCTGGGTTCTCTCAATCTTTGATCTAAGATTGAGGAAGATTTTTTTGTACAAGCTACACACCTAGCTGTTCAACTACAGTAGCGCATGCCTTTCCACAGGAGGCAAATGTTTGATCCACTAAAGATAAATAATTGGTGTTCTATAAATACACAGTAGTTATAGTAGTGTGCAGACTTCAGCTAATATAAGCACAAGTCCAACTGCTTGCTGTATTTAGCGCGAGGTAGGCAGCTCAACCTTCCTTCTAATTAAATGATCCAATATGAATGTTGTATTTATTTAATTCCCAACTCTCATCTGCTAGATTTTTGTTTTATTTATTTCTTAAATTTCTACACCGCCCATATTGTTTATAGAGTTCAGGTCATGGCATTGCAATGCATGTTTAATTACTACTTCTCCTTTCTGCTTATAATGCCTTTCAAAGATTATTCTGTAAAATACATGGAGTGGTACAACAGGAAATTAATACCCATGATAAATAAAATTTTGAGCTGTAATATGTAATATAAATAAAATTCTTTATTTAGAATAGTCTTTAACTAAGAATCTCAAACAATTATTTACTTTTTAATATAACCTATAACCTGATGTAAAATGGCAAAAGCTGAGGAGTATAAAAGGGGCAGCGGAAGTCTTCCCTCTCTGTTCTGCCCTGTCATTACTTCCTGTTGAAGGAAGAGTTACATTCTTGCATTTAATGTTGGCTTGCTGTCCTCAGATATGGCAGTAGATGCTATCTTGCACTCTTGAAGTCATTGAACCACTAGTCTGTTCATTTTTTATCACAATAGCAACAAAAAAAGCCATTTTTGTGCTAACCAGGTATAATCTTAGTTTGGCCACTTTAGGGCAAAATGCAACAGTAATAGTTAAATGCCTTTCTGTAATATTCCGATATTTCCTTTTAGGAAACACTGGTTCTTCCAGTTTGCTCCAGGGATCTGCCAGTGGGGTACCATCTACTCATCCACATCTCCTTCCTGGGTCACCTTGTTCTTCTCCTGCTTTTCACCTCACTCCCAATACTAGCCAGTTCTGCAGCCTTGCTTCAGCTGACTATACAGCCTGTGCTCGCTCAGGTCTAACCCTTAACAGGTACAGTACTTCCTTGACTGAAACCTACAACAGGCTTGCAAATCAAACCAGCGAGACCTTTGCAACCCCAGCAACTCCCTCTTACGTTGGCGTATCAAATGGCTCAGCAGTGAATATGCCTGTGGCAGGTAGTGACGGTGATGCATTCAGTTGTCCGCAGGCAGGATTATCAATGCAAATTTCAGGGATGTCGCCACAACTCCAGTACATTATACCTCCTCCATCTGGCAATGCCTTTCCGGCAAATCAGACCCATCCGAACTCTTACAACACTTTCAGGCTGCATAGTCCTTGTGCTCTGTATGGATACAACTTCTCCACCTCCCCCAAACTGGCTGCAAGTCCTGAGAAAATTGTTTCTTCCCAAGGAACTTTCTTGGGGTCATCACCAAGTGGAACCATGACTGATCGACAGATGTTGCCCCCTGTAGAAGGAGTGCACTTACTTAGCAGTGGGGGGCAGCAAAATTTCTTTGACTCTAGGACCCTAGGAAGCTTAACACTGTCATCATCTCAAGTATCTGCACATATGGTTTGATAAATACTTCTAAATAAAAGTACAGTGCATTTCTTTTTACAATGTACCCTCCCCCCTTTTTTGGAATAATGACAATGGAATAAGGTAATTAATATGACTTGTAAGGTAATTGTATGAATAACAACAAAGAAAATTAGATTGAATCTTTTTATTTCCTTGTAGGCAAACATTTGGACAGATTCTGGCATCTGAGTTAATCTGATTTAGTTATCAGAATAGTCCATTTAGTTTCTGAGTAGCATGCACTTCATTTTATAACACGTTTGGCCATATGCAACAAATTAAGCAGGACTTCCTCCAACACTCTTTCCCACGTTTTTCCTTCTTTAAGGAACAAAACAACACAACTCTGATGTAGATGAAACAAAAAAAACTTCACCATGTATATGTTGTACTTGTGTATTATATGTTTGTGTACAAACTATTCTGAATACAGTGAGCCAGTGCCATAATGTGTACATTACTTCTCTGTTGTAAGAGAGATAACCAATGTGTGCCTTCATTAGACTTAATGTAGACATCTAGCTGCATCATGCTTTCAAACAAAGAGACAGGATCATTTTCTTTCTCAGCTTTTATGATGTACCAGTTGATTCTGTGCTGTGCTCTTGTCCTTATGATGCATTGCTAACATAGGACTATCTGCTGGCTTTGCATCAAATTGCAGATGTAGTGGTGACAAGCTAAATTATAGAGTGAAAAGGGCAATATGTAATGTTTTGTACAAAATAAATTTAAAGGAGACTTATTCCATGTGAACAGAGTATAAAGGTTTTCTATATAGATTTTCTATTTGTTAATTATTGAACCCAGTACTACAAACACAGCAAGGCAAGACTTCTAAACTTTTCTATCTCTTGTTGAGGATAATGTTTCAAGATGATAAGGCAGTGGATATATTTTGCAAAAAAATTTCTCACATACTTTTCTCCCAGTATAAGTGATTAGACTTGAATGCTAACTTCTTTTGAATTTAACAAAACCAAAACATGGTGTTTAGTAATTGTTGACCATCTGAACTTTATTCCAGTTACAACATCTTGCGCTGATTTAATAAGCTGTTTCCAAATTTTGACTGGGATATTAAAATCAACTATAATACAAAAAGCTGCACACCTCAGTAGATTTGGTAGTTCCTAAAAATTATGTACATGACCTTTGAAATTACAATATTGTGAAGCAAAGTAACTGCAACATGTCCATTTTTTCACCATTGTTATGGCTAACAGTTCTTCCATTCACCAATCTCTCAACATTTTTATATTAAGAGTATGTCCTAGAGATTTAATTCCAAAAACATTCTTCAGGATGTGTAAGTGGCATGTAGTAAATGTATATTTCAGCAGCTATTTAAAGTATCTGTATCTTTTTCTAGGACCATACAGTTGCTATCTGATCCCAGGAAGAGATGTAGTTCCTTTAAATTGTTGCAGACAGGCTTAGTTCGTGCCCCTATGTGTTCGGAAGCACTTTTTGAAATTAAATTTAAAACTTTGCCCAGCACTAATCTTTCTTCTCCTTCAGTGTGCAAATTCTTAAGACTTTTATCCCAAAATATAAATTTGTTGGATTAAATTAGATTGGATTGTATAAACACACTTTGTTTTATTTTTTTCTGAAATATTTATTTGAATGATTATAATTGTTAATAAAATAAAAGACCAGAGTACAGATATTCCAAAAAGCAATCCTTACAATTTTGGAGAAAATCAAGGGAAAATTCAAAAGTATTATGCTATTTGTTTACCAGTATACTATACACGGATCAAGGAGACCTGATCTGGGCCAATAGGTACAATGACTGGCCATTTGTATCAGCTCTCCAATATTTCAGATTGTACTTATAAGAAAAATAAAGGCTCTTTGTCTTAGTTATCAATCTTGCTAAGTCCTTTCTGCAGCTGTTATTCTGGTTTTGCTTTTTTACTTTGAATCTAAATTCCAAACTCGGACTAAAGTAATTTGAATTCTCATGATACAGTCCTGAGGTTCAGGTCCAACATATTCTTGATTTCTATATGAACATAGGTTTGTCAAAAGTTTTATTTTTCAATGTTTCTTTACATACTTCTGTCTCACTTTGGACTATATATTGGTGTTCAAGAATGGCTTTTTGATGAATGGGAGGCATCAAGAGCCCCTCTTTGAGGGAGATGGGCTATTTAGAAATATAAAATATAAACAAACTACAATGGAGTTTGTGGTGGAACTTATATGAAGTCCTATACACAGTGATGCTTCAAAGTTTGTAAATAGTCTTGAATTTCCAATATTTCTGCAAAAATGTGACCTAAATGTGATCTGTTCTTCTGTTCTGCCCCAGCTTCGGATTCCCAAAGAATATGACACACACCAAGCTTCGCAAACACTGTTTAGTTCCAAACAAACCCCTTTCAAGAATGCAGGCTTCCCGTGCAAAGGGTCCTTATCAAAGTTATTAAGAACAAAGTCCGACAAAGGTTGGCAACCAGCCCAGAAAACCAGAGAAGTCGCTTGCTCTCCAAGATGCTCTGTAGTAATGAGACATTGTTTCTAGTAAGAAAGCACTAGCCGCGTGCGACTTAAATAGGCTAAGGGAGTGGCCAATTATCCTCAAGCCCTACTCTCGAGTAGACCTCCTCCTCCTGAGTAGCCACTCCTGCCTTTTGGCAGCCCTGCGTGCTCGAACATTGAAGAGAGGCTCCTCCACTTCACTCTCTGCACTTGAAGGAGCCTCTGGAGGTTCTGAAGGCCCTGGCTGAGTCTCTGCCTCTGGCATCACATCCTCTTCGGCCTCCTCACTGTCCGACGCGAGCGCAGGCTGCTGGCGCAACACCACACCAGCCTCCTCATTGTCGGGATCAGCCACGATCCACACAGGCCGCTGGCGGGCCACAACATCTTCACACAAATCCAAAGAAAACCTCAATTAAACGAGTCAAAAACATATGCTCCCAAGCTACGTATTATTGGGTACCAGAAGTATGTGGACTTCTAGAATTCTCAGTGTATTTGATGAGAGAATTACAGTCAGGTGTTTCAATCAATGGGGTGTTACAGGTATGAGAGTGGGAGGTTGCGCCTTATTTAAAGAACAGAAATCTGGGTATTCACTGTTAAAATCTGATTTTTTTCAACACAGCTCTGTGGAACTATTATGGCTTGAAAGGTCCAAAGGTTCTGTGGACTTTTGAAAAACAAGATGTTGCTCACTAGGCTGGAAAGTGTTACTTATCTCTAGAGTGTTTGGATTTCACAAGTCCAATGTTGGGCAGATTGTGTACAAATGGAAGCAATTCAACACCATTTTTACCGTTTCCAGAAATGGTCAACCAAACAGAATCACAGTAAGAGCAGGGCTTGCAATATTCTTGGTGGTCTCAGAAATTCAGAGTAATATTCAAGGGACTAAAGGCCTCTTTCAACATTGACATTTGACAATGTTTATGAGACCAGCACCAAGAGAATAATGGTGTCCGTGGCATGGTTGCTAGGAGAAATCACTGCTCTCCAAAAGAGCATTGTTACCTGTCTACAATTTGCAAAAGGCTATGTGGATGAGCCAGAAGATTATTAGAAGAATGTTCTGTGAATAGATGAAATTGAATAAGAACTTTATGCCTTAAATGAAAAGTATGATGGAATTCCAGCATATCATGGGCCTGCTTTGCTGTCTCTGGACTAGGATGCTTTGCCATTGACTGAATTAAAATTGTACCAGCAATTATACAGGAAAATGATTATATCCATCCGTGAACTAAAGCTGAAGAGAAAGTGAGTCATGCAGGAATACAACAACCCAAAATATGCAATTGTATGACAGAATGCTTAAAGCAGAAGAAAGTTAATGTTTTGGAATGGCTAAACCAAAGTCCTGACCATAAGCCAACAGAAATGTAGAAGGACAATGAAATGGATAGCTCTCGTAAGGAAGTTCACCAGTGTCCCTGAATTGACGCTGGTCTATAAGGAGGAATGGCTAAAATTCTTCTAAGTTGAAGTGCAGGACTTACAGTTACTGGAAATGTTTTGTTGCTGCCTCAAAGGGGGAGTGGGGTGGTGGTACACCAGTTACTGAAAGCAAAGGTTCACATATTTTTACCACACATAAATACCACACATAAATACATAGTTAGGGATCGTTTTCCTCAAATGAACAAGGATAATGTTTTTGACACATTTGTTTAATTATGTTCCCTTTACATAGCTGTAGGACTGGTTCAGAGAACAGATCATGTTTTATGTCATATTTTATGCTGAAATATTGAAAATTTAAGGTACTTACATACTTTAAAAAATCGCTATGGCTATTGGCTGGTATTGTGCACACTCTTGACCCAAATATTACATAATTGTTTGAAAAAGTTTGCTTCTTATGTTGGAAAGTCTATTCTATTTCCCGCTTGATTGTAAATCTAGGAATTATCAAAGAGTGCAACACTAAAACAATGAAATGAAGAATTTGGCTTGTTCCCTTTCTGTACTGGTTTTATTTCAGTGGGATTCCTATGAAGCTTCAGGACTATAATATGCTGCTATAACACAAGTGTTAATGCCAGTACTTAGAATCATAAACACAACATAGCAAACCTAATATTGTCAAACATATTTTTTTTTTCTTTCAGTAAAGATTTGTGGCTTCTGGATCTAACTCTGAAAACGTTGCTGTGTTTTCTCATCCTTTTAACTGATTTGGAAGTTAAAAAGTTTTCAACAACTGTCCTTAAGAGATATTGATGAATAATTTGTAAAAAAGCTTAATGAAGTGAAAAATTGAATCAATTTGGAAAAGCTTAGAATTAATACAATTAAAATAAAGTCAGGTTTTATGTTCCCATATTAAGAGACATTTCAGGTGAAAAGCCACTATTTCAGCAAATGAGGTTTTGCAGTCAAACTGCCCAGTAGTACAAAATGTGATACAACTGAACTTGCTGAGGTTCTATGCATTGGTGATAACAGTAACTCTTGAATTTTCATTATCCTACCTAACAGTATTTTTTCAAATATAGACAAGTTTGTATTGTATTAAAAGAGCTTTTTCTTAAAATGCAATTTCTGTTGTATTTAAAATATTGTTACATGATTATAAAATCCAATTTTATGGAATGCAATGTCAAATAAGCAGCATATCTATAATTACATATTGCTGTATTTTTTTTCTTTTTTTAAAGCTACAGAATGGATATTAAAGCATATATCTAAAACACTTTTTATTAAATTTTTAAAATAAAATACTTTTAGAAAAACGCATTCATGGTAATGTCATCAAAAATATCATTTAAGTTTATTGTTGCATTTACTGTATACCAGCATAACTTCTCCAATATATCTGGCAAGGTTTGAAATAGAAGTCTCATTTAGAAATATATTTGGCATCAAGTGTGCAGTGTCTTCATGCACATTTCTGACCTGTGAGATTCTACAGTACTAAGTAATTTGATTTTCAACAGCCTGCAGCCAGGTTTCTAATAGTGTGTATTTCAAGAGGGACAGAGAAAACACATGGACAATTAGACAAATTATTCACTCAATATCTGTATGCCACCTTTTCTTAGAGAAGTTTATATTATATATTAGAATGTAAATTATTTATATATATTTAATATTAACATCAATAAAACTCTCTTTGAAGGAATTTACAAGTACTAAAAGATAAAAGCCCAGCTGAGAATAAAACTCTTTGAATTATTTTCATAGAATCCATTAATATGCTATGGAGGGAAAGTAAAGACTTATTTGATGTCAATATGCTGCTATTTTAGGATATAAATGCAGCCAGCTGTAAATTACAGGGATTGGAGATAGGATCAGGGGATAGTTTCAAAGAGGCAAGGCAATCTAGCATCAGAAAAGAACCTTTCAGGCTGAGGTTACTGGTATCTATTTTTTGTTTGTTTGTTTGAATGTCCATCCCAGCCCTTTTCTGGTTTTTTAGGAATAAAAGATGCTGAAATAACAAAACAGCACCTGACTTGAATAATACTTGGAGACATTTCAGTTTGGAAGAGTATCAGACATAAATGAGAAATAAGTGGTTTTCTTAATATGTTTAAACCTGTTGCTATCTCTCCCCTGTTGTCATTTGAAGGTGAAGTCTATGATGAATGTTGGGCATATGAAGAGCCAAATGTTGATAGCCAATCAGCAAGGTTTTTATTTGGAGCACAGGAATGAATGGCTTGCAGGGCTGCACTAGCTCCTGACAGACCCCTGCTATTTGCCACATGTCTGAACTCATTCCAAAAGATGTGATGATAGGATGAAATCTGTCTATCAGTCCAAACTAGAAAATTAACGCTTATGCATGCTTGTTTCACTTGGGCATGAGTCTTTCCCCTCTAGTGTGTGTAGTTACTACCATACTACAACCACAATACTACAACCACAATGCAAGTGTTACAAGATAAATAGATTTAAAAAGAGGTCCTACCACAGTTTGGAACAGAACTGGCTTTAAAAAATGATGTAGGAACATTAAAGCTGGCAATTTCTGTGTGAACAACCAAGAATCTCCATTTTACCAGGCTGTTTCTAAACATTTTAAATTCTGTGACGAAAAGCATCAGTAATCCCAAAACATCAGGCAAAATCAAATAAGATATCCATGTAGTAGAAGTACATCTGCATACCTGAATGCTGGTTTTTTAAAAACGTTAACTCTAATTTTATTTTTTTGTTTCTAGTATTTATTTGCAAGATGCATGTTCAGTTAATTATGGTGGCCTTTTTTATGTGTCTTCTTAGATGGTTGCACAATTCTTTCATAATATTACTAAAATCCATTAATCTTTCCTGTTTCATACTTCTGCGCTTTAACTTTGTTTTGTCTCCCTCACAACCTCTTTTCTTTAATCCCATCTTTTTGGTTTGGTTCATTCCTCTTATCTCTGATATATA